ACACTCACTACCGTCCTGCCAAGTGAGTGTAAAACGAAAGCCTGTAATTGTTTTACATGATGGTAGGATTGCTGGTGTCTTTTGTCTGTCTCATAAACATGCAAGATTTCAGGTACGTTTTGCTACTTCTACTTACACTTAGGTCACACTACACATACATGTACAAGCATATATATATACACACCCCTCTGGGTATTCTTCTATTTTCTTTCTAGTTCTTGTTCTTGTTTATTTCCTCTTATCTCCATGGGGAAGTGGAACAGAATTCTTCCTCCGTAAGCCATGCGTGTCGTATGAGGCGACTGAAATGCAGGGAGCAAGGGGCTGGTAACCCCTTCTCCTGTATATATTACTAAATTTGAAAGGAGAAACTTTTGTTTTTCCTTTTGGGCCACCCCACCTTGGTGGGATACAGCCAGTGTGTTGAAAGAAAGAAGAATATATATATATATATATAAAATATATATATATATTTTATATATAATATATATATATATATATATATACAGTGGACCCCCGGTTAACGATTTTAATCCGTGCAAGAGGGCTCATCGTTATGCGAAATAATCGTTATGCGAATGAATTTTCCCCATAAGAAATAATGGAAATCAAATTAATCCGTGCAAAGACGCCCAAAAGTATGAAAAAAATTTTTTTTTTACCACATGAAATGTTAATTTTAATACACACAAACTGAAAAAGGCATGCACAATTAAATGACACTTACTTTTATTGAAGATCTGGTGATGATTGATGGGATGGGAGGAGGGGAGAGCATTATCTTCTTACTGTTTAGAAGGGGAATCCCCTTCCATTAACGACTTGAGGTAGCAAGTCCTTTTTCCGGGGTTACTTCCCTTCTTCTTTTAATGCCACTAGGACCAGCTTGAGAGTCACTGGACCTCTGTCGCACAACAAATCTGTCCATAGAGCTCTGTACCTCCCGTTCCTTTACGATTTGTCTAAAATGGGCCACAACATTGTCATTGAAATAGTCACCAGCACGGCTTGCAACAGCTGTGTCAGGGTGATTTTCATCTATAAAGGTTTGCAGTTCAACCCACTGTGCACACATTTCCTTAATCTTTGAAGTAGGCACAATGGATTCCACAACTGGCATAGGCTTCTCAGGGTTAGCCCCAAACCCTTCAAAATCTTTCTTAATTTCCATACTAATTCTCACCCTTTTTACCACAGGGTTGGCACTAGAAGCTTTCTTGGGGCCCATGGTCACTTATTTTCCAGAAACAGCACCGAAAACACTGTAATAATACGAAATATTCCGAGTGTATGCTTGGATGTTACCGCGGAGGCTGGCTGGTAAACAATGGGACGGCCGGCACATGTGAGGCTGGCTGAGGGCACATTGGACGCGTCTCGGACGAAAATCGGTAAGCGGGTTTTTAATCGGTATGCGCGGCAAAAATTTTGCGATAAAAGTAATCGGTATGCGGAAAAATCGCTATGTGATGCCATCGTTATGCGGGGGTCCACTGTATATATATATATATATATATATATATATATATATATATATATATATATATATATATATATATATATATATATATATATATATATATATATACACATATATATATATATTTTTTTTTTTTTTTTTTTTTTTTTTTTCAACAAGTCGGCCGTCTCCCACCGAGGCAGGGTGACCCAAAAAAGAAAGAAAATCCCCAAAAAGAAAATACTTTCATCATCATTCAACACTTTCACCACACTCGCACATTATCACTGTTTTTGCAGAGGTGCTCAGAATACAACAGTCTAGAAGCATACACATATAAAGATACACAACATATCCCTCCAAACTGCCAATATCCCAAACCCCTCCTTTAAAGTGCAGGCATTGTACTTCCCATTTCCAGGACTCAAGTCCGACTATATGAAAATAACCGGTTTCCCTGAATCCCTTCACTAAATATTTACCCTGCTCACACTCCAACAGATCGTCGGGTCCCAAGTACCATTCGTCTCCATTCACTCCTATCTAACACGCTCACGCACGCTTGCTGGAAGTCCAAGCTCCTTGCCCACAAAACCTCCTTTACCCCCTCTCTCCAACCCTTTCGAGGACGACCCCTACCCCGCCTTCCTTCCCCTATAGATTTATAAGCTTTCCATGTCATTCTACTTTGATCCATTCTCTCTAAATGACCAAACCACCTCAACAACCCCTCTTCTGCCCTCTGACTAATACTTTTATTAACTCCACACCTTCTCCTAATTCCACACTCCGAATTTTCTGCATAATATTTAACACCACACATTGCCCTTAAACAGGACATCTCCACTGCCTCCAACCGTCTCCTCGCTGCTGCATTTACCACCCAAGCTTCACACCCATATAAGAGTGTTGGTACTACTATACTTCATACATTCCCTTCTTTGCCTCCATAGATAACGTTTTTTGACTCCAGATATACCTCAACGCACCACTCACCTTTTTTCCCTCATCAATTCATGATTAACCTCATCATATATATATATATATATATATATATATATATATATATATATATATATATATATATATATATATATATATATATATATATATATATATATAATATATAGGAGCAATGTGGCAGATGTTGCAAGTTTATGGAATAGGTGGTAAGTTACTAAATGCTGTAAAGAGCTTTTATGAGGATAGTGAGGCTCAGGTTAGGGTATGTAGAAGAGAGGGAGAATACTTCCCGGTAAAAGTAGGTCTTAGACAGGGATGTGTAATGTCACCAAGGTTGTTTAATATATTTATAGATGGGGTTGTAAAAGAAGTAAATGCTAGGGTGTTCGGGAGAGGGGTGGGATTAAATTATGGGGAATCAAATTCAAAATGGGAATTGACACAGTTACTTTTTGCTGATGAACTGTGCTTATGGGAGATTCTAAAGAAAAATTGCAAAGGTTAGTGGATGAGTTTGAGAATGTGTGTAAAGGTAGAAAGTTGAAAGTGAACATAGAAAGAGTAAGGTGATGAGGGTATCAAATGATTTAGATAAAGAAAAATTGGATATCAAATTGGGAGGAGGAGTATGGAAGAAGTGAATGTTTTCAGATACTTGGGAGTTGACGTGTCGGCGGATGGATTTATGAAGGATGAGGTTAATCATAGAATTGATGAGGGAAAAAGGTGAGTGGTGCGTTGAGGTATATGTGGAGTCAAAAAACGTTATCTATGGAGGCAAAGAAGGGAATGTATGAAAGTATAGTAGTACCAACACTCTTATATGGATTGGAAGCTTGGGTGGTAAATGCAGCAGCGAGGAGACGGTTGGAGGCAGTGGAGATGTCCTGTCTAAGGGCAATGTGTGGTGTAAATATTAAGCAGAAAATTCGGAGTGTGGAAATTAGGAGAAGGTGTAGAGTTAATAAAAGCATTAGTCAGAGGGCAGAAGAGGGGTTGTTGAGGTGGTTTGGTCATTTAGAGAGAATGGATCAAAGTAGAATGACATGGAATGCATATAAATCTATAGGGGAAGGAAAGAGGGGTAGGGGTCGTCCTCGAAAGGGTTGGAAAGAGGGGGTAAAGGAGGTTTTGTGGGCGAGGGGCTTGAACTTCCAGGAAGCGTGCATGAGCGTGTTAGATAGGAGTGAATGGAGACGAATGATACTTGGGACCTAACGATCTGTTGGAGTGTGAGCAGGGTAATATTTAGTGAAGGGATTCAGGGAAACCGGTTATTTTCATATAGTCGGACTTGAGTCCTGGAAATGGGAAGTACAATGCCTGCACTTTAAAGGAGTGGTTTGGGATATTGGCAGTTTGGAGGGATATGTTGTGTATCTTTATACGTATATGCTTCTAAACTGTTGTATTCTGAGCACCTCTGCAAAAGCAGTGATAATGTGTGAGTGTGGTGAAAGTGTTGAATGATGATGAAAGTATTTTCTTTTTGGGGATTTTCTTTCTTTTTTGGGTCACCCTGCCTCGGTGGGAGACGACCGACTTGTTGAAAAAAAAAAAAAAAAAACATACATACATACAGTGGACCCCCGGTATTCGATGGCATCGGTATTCTATAAATCCGGTATTCGATGCATTTTAACGCAAAAATTTTGCCTCGGTATCCGATTGAAAACCCGGTATTCGATACGATTCGTATTAGACGTGTCCACATGTGGCCTGAACTGCCTCTTGTGTGCCAATGTTTACAAGCAGCCAGTGTGCGCGCATCTAAGTACACATTCGGTACATTCCATATTATCCATTTTATCACTGTTTTTGGTGCTTGTTTCTGCAAAATAAGTCACCATGGGCCCCAAGAAAGCTTCTAGTGCCAACCCTGTGGTAAAAAGGGTGAGAATTAGTATGGAAATTAAGAAAGATTTTGAAGGGTTTGGGGCTAACCCTGAGAAGCCTATGCCAGTTGTGGAATCCATTGTGCATACTTCAAAAATTAAGGAAATGTGTGCACAGTGGGTTGAACTGCAAACCTTTATGGATGAAAATCACCCTAACACAGCTATTGCAAGCCTTGCTGGTGACTATTACAATGACAATGTTGTGGCCCATTTTAGACAAATCGTAAAGGAACGGGAGGTACAGAGCTCTATGGACAGATTTGTTGTGCGACAGAGGTCCAGTGACTCTCAAGCTGGTCCTAGTGGCATTAAAAGAAGGGAAGTAACCCCGGAAAAGGACTTGCTACCTCAAGTCCTAATGGAAGGGGATTCCCCTTCTAAACACTATCATCCACACTCTCCCCTCCTCCCATCCCATCAATCATCACCAGATCTTCAATAAAGGTAAGTGTGCATGTCTTCTTCAGTTTGTGTGTCTGCTTATAGCTATGTATGGATTCTGCCTCCACTACATCACTTCCCAAACTACTCCACTTCCTGACTACTCTGTGGCTGAAGAAGTATGTGTACGTGTGCTTACATATAATAATTATTATTTTTTTTTAAATCATGGAAATTCACCATAGATAGCAGCACAAGGATTTTAATAATAATTCATATGGAAATCTTGTCCTCAACAGGCCTATAGGCACCTCATCCTCGGCAGTACCAAGGGTTACATCACCACAGCCTTCCCAGCTTCCCAACAGATGTACCTCTGACCCACGATCACCCTTGTTTAATCCCTCACCTGAACCAATAAGGTTGGTTCGTTGGATGCTTACCTTTGTCCTGGAAAGTTCCTCTGTGTGATCTTATAGGCTCTCTACATTGCCCAAACCTTTTCAGTCTCATATCTTTGTATCTTTACCTATTATTTCCAACTTAAAGACTGCAGTTCTATCTTATGCCTGCACCTTCCTGTGCCACCTCACAAAACTACACTTTTACTTTTCAATATATGACTGTTAGTGTCATGCTCTCCATATACATGTGTATTTTGTACACTTTACCTAATCTCACTTACAAAATTTAACAGGAGTAAGCTGAATACGTTTATATATGAATAGAGGTTGAAAAACTGATAGATACAGGTTAATTTAACTGTATTGTGAGGGATTTACTCATAGATACAGTAATAAATTATTTCTAAAGCTATAATGTGAAGACTTGTCGAGTGGAGACATCATAAATTAGCTTTTCGATTCAAAGAAGTGAAAGAGACATAGTCATTATGAAAAAACTTTAAATATAAACCTGATGTGAACACGGAAATATGCCCAGAGTATCAGAATCAAAATAATTAGGTAGGAGTTTAAAATAGAGGGTTATAGTGTATGCAGAGTTTCTATATATATTTAAAAGGATGGAATGAGATTGATATGTAACATTTCAAGGAACTTGGCATAATTTTTTTCATCATATGCAGAAAAGTTAGGATAAATAAATATTTGCAACAGAGGTATTGAGTAATTATTTTTAAGACAGAAATCGTACAGTATACATGTAGAAATTGTTTATTGATTTGGCAAAAAACAAAATCCTCTAAAGAATATTGAATAAGGCTTTCAGCGTCATTATGAGGGATAATATTTGTTGACTATAGGGTTGCTATTAATGTTCCTTCTAATTTTTCCAGCCATGTATAGAGTGAATGTTTTTATGTGCACTAGTGTGTAAGCAATATGTACAGGTGTGCTACCAGTAGCAACAATCTTATGTAATATGAATGACGTTTGTATAGTTACTGTAGCCCGTAGGTATGTTAGTGTTAGATGTTGAATGAATATACATACAGAAAAAAATATTTAAACTCAAAATATACAAAAGTCACTGACTCGACTGTAGTTACCATCACTGAGAATGTCCCCCTCCTCAATTGATTTAGTGTTTGTCTATGTGCATAGGGAACACTAGTTGCCAGTACTACTGTCCTCTTCTCAAATTCTTACATACCACGAATTAGATATTCTTCATCCGTTAAGCAGAAATTCAAGGTATAAATATAATGGCCTCTGGAAATAATTTATTTTACAGAAAATCTCGCCGAGAACGAATTATTCCCATAGCAGTTGAGGGAGAAGGTATCGTTACTCCTCCACCTCACGTAGAAGAAGCAGCAGAACTTGGAGTAGCACGAGCACATCAAGCATTTTCACGCACACTCTCTGCAAGACCCAGTGCCCTTAAGTAAGATATATTGTATGTCATTTTATGTATTAAAATATGCTGATATCGGTATTGCATGTCTGTTCTTGAAATTATGAAACTTTTGGGCCTTACTGTTGTAATGTTTTGCTGTAGTCAGAATGAAAGAGCAAATCAGAAAACATTTTCATACTGGTATATTTTTTTAATTAGAATTACAGTATTGTTGAAAGTATAATATTTATAATTTTTTTATAGCTTAGCTTTTGAATAGACTGAGTTTACATTAGGAATACTGAAGTGAAGAAAATTTAAATAGGACGGCAAGGAAAGGTGTTGTGTTTTTTTTGTTCATGTCATTATGGTTGTATCATAAATGGTTTGCTTCCTTGTAGAGGTGAGGAATGCTTGCATGTACAATATTTTTTCAAGAGTTTGTCACTGATTATTACACCCCTAAGAGTACAGTGTATATACACCAAAAGGTGTGTATATCTTTATGTATATGTACTGAACTTACCTTAATCCTCTTTATTTTGGGATTAAGGTATTCTTCATATGTGGTGTATGGGTGAAATGCAGCATTAATGAGCCTTGTGTAGTTGATAGGCTTTGAACCTAGCACACCACCCTTTAAGAGTAATGCTATTTGCTAGGAAGTTTGAAGTGCCGCTTCATCTACCATGGAAAGCAATGGCTACTTGTTTGCACTTTCAAAGAAGGTACACAAAAGATGAGGGTTTTCAGAAAGTATCCAGAATTAAGTAGAAACATGGAAAGAGGAATACCAGAAAAAGCATCATAACAGTGGGAAATGAAAAGGTAGAAATAGGAATATTAATGAAAGAAGAATGTGGAGTAAATAAATTATGACACTTAAGTGCAACAAACCATCTTGTAATTTATTATTAGTATGGCTAAATTGTAGGGATGTACAGTTGTCTATTTTTTTCATATTTCCTGTACCATTTTTTGTTAACTGTGTAGTTTGTGTATAATTGCAGAGATTTATTACTAAATATCCATGACCAGCTCTTATTTCCCTGGCATGGTGATCATTTAATTTATAAGGATGACTAAAATTTAATACGATCTCTTTCCTATTAATGGTTATGTTCTGTTGACCACTTGCAGTGTCAAACTAAATGAAACTGGCATTACAAGCATCACAATGTGGTGAACTTCATGCGTGCATAGAATGCAGGTATACTGCATCATCTAACCTCTAACATATGTAGATTAGTATCATCTGCAACAGGCTTGAAATTTAAAAACAAACTACTTATGTTAACAAAATGCTTATTTTTTTCATACCTTGATCTTTCCAAAGGGTTTTATCATTAATTAGGAAAGTCAATGTATATAGTATTTTGTTTTAAATATCAATAACATTGAAATCTTGGGTTGATGAGTTTTAGTAGACTGAAAAATAGTGACAACGTTTGATTTCACATCATGGAAAGACATTATTTGCAACTATTTACCATTTAGCAGAGTTTTATTTTGTAGTGTTTCAAACCATCAGGAATTTTCTGTGTGAATGAATGTTCTTTAGGACTAAATGCTTGTTACACTAGAGCTTTTTTGCTTTTGCTAATGACTGCTGGTGCTTGACAATTTTGACTCAGCAGTGGCATAACGGAAGGTGAGGGGGACAGTTATACACAGTCGCCCACAGGCACTGTGTCATGCCCTCCATTACCTCGTAGGACACCTGCTGATTTTGGAACAGTGCCCATGTGGCAGAGGCGCCTCTCTCACACTAACAGGTACTTGCATTTCTTGCATGGCTTTTAAGCTTCTGCTGAATTTCTGCATGGTGTGGCTGCAATGTTATATGCTTTTTTGGGGGTGACTGTCTACATTAGTATTGAGTTTTTATGTAATATTAGTTTATTTATATGTTATACTGTTGTAAAATAATTTAAGTTTTATATAATATGTGGGTGGACATCTTTTCTGAATGTACATAATTCTCCTGAAGAACCCTGTAGTATACATGCCTGCCCGAATGCAGTAAATTCCAGTCTAACGAACAGCCCCTTTCATTATAAAGCACAATTTCCTGGACCTGGCTGTTTATTGAGGGAAAACCTGTAAAATTATTCATTACACCAGGCCATAATTTTCTCCAGCCTGCATTTATTGTAGACTGGGGCACTTTATCCTGTGAACTCCTATGGTGGATACTGGATCAGCAGTGTTAAATATATGCAAGAATTTTCACATTCTAGCATTTGCATTGTCATCTATTACTGCAAGGAGTTTCTGCAACACCTTGCATGTGTATTACCACTTAAAATGTCTTAATCACTCCTTGATCCAGTTATTGTATCGTAAGATGTATTTGGTGGTAAAAAACACAACCCTCAAAAGTTGAGGATGGCAGGGGTTAAGGTGTCATTTTAGTCATTAGTGCAAACATGGCCTTCACCCATTGACCCTTAAACTGTCCAAATGTAGATCTACATTCACTTGCCCAGCACTCCAAATATATTAAAAAAAAATCATTTTTTTTAAATTAAAGAGGGCAATTTTCTGCATGTAACAAGACCAAAAATAAATTTTTTAGGGTCAGTACTTACGAGATATAAGACCGCGAAGTTGGAGCTGGAGGCTCACCCAACGGCAACATTGAGTCCTGCTGCTTGCAAAAGTGTTGCACTTTACAGGGAGGTATACCATCTTTTAGGAGTGAAGAAGAACAGGATGTGAGTGTGGGGAAGGTGTGTGAGGCATTACATAGAATGAAAGGGCGTAAAGCAGCTGGAACTGACGGGATCATGACAGAAATGTTAAAAGCAGGGGGGGATATAGTGTTAGAGTGGTTGGTATTTTTGTTTAACCCTTTGAGGGTTTCGGACGTACTAGTACGGCTTACAACCCAGGGTTTTTGACGTACTAGTACGCCTAAATTCTAGTGCCCTCAAATCTAGTGGGAGAAAGCTGGTAGGCCTACATATGAAAGAATTGGTCTATGTGGTCAGTGTGCACAGTATGCACAGTATAAAAAAATCCTGCAGCACAGTGCATAATGAGATAAAAAAAACTTTGACCGTTTTTTTCGAATAAAACAGCGACTTTGCACTGTATTTTTGTATGGTATTTATTGTTGTATTCTAGTTTTCTTGGTCTCATTTTATAGAATGGAAGACATATTACAGAAATTGAGATGATTTTGACTGGTTTTACAAAGAAAAGTACCTAGAAATTGAGCTCAAAGTAGCAGAAATGTTCAATTTTTACCAAAGTTCAAAAGTAAACAAATCATGCCAAGTGTCCAATACACATCAACTGGTGAGTCTAATATTCTTTTGCAAGTGCGCCAATATTATTTATACCGTTTTTTACACTAATGCAGTAGTCTGCATAACAGTAAATCTTCTATTTTTTGTGAGAATAAAAATTGAAAGTGGAAAGCAAAAGAATGTAAGAGGGGCCTTGAGACGTGACTAATGAACAAAGGAAATGTTATTTTAGTGCCAGAAATGTCTTTCTTGTTTATTCTGGACCCTATTCGGAAATTGGCATCTTTTGAAATTTGTGTGAAATTGGCAAAATTGCTAAATTCTGACCACTGTACTGGATAGTTGAAATTGGTAAATGGGTGGTTTCTTGCACTCATTCGATAGAAAAAGTGGAGTTCTAGCAAAATACAGTGGACCCCTGCATAACGATGGCATCACATAGCGATTATTTCGCATACCGCTTACTTTAATCGCAAAATATTTGCCGCGCATACCGATTAAAAACCCGCTCACCGATTTTCGTCCGAGACGCGTCCAATGTGCGCCCTCAGCCAGCCTCACATGTGCCGCCCGTCCCATTGTTTACCAGCCAGCCTCCGCGGTAACATCCAAGCATACACTCGGAATATTTCGTATTATTACAGTGTTTTCGGTGCTGTTTCTGGAAAATAAGTGACCATGGGCCCCAAGAAAGCTTCTAGTGCCAACCGTACACCAATAAGGGTGAGAATTCCCATTGAAATGAAGAAAGAGATCATTGATAAGTATGAAAGTGGAGTGCGTATCGCGACCTAGTCAAGTTGTACAAGAAACCCCAATCAACCATCGCTACTATTGTGGGCACCAAAAAGACAATCAAGGAAGCTGTTCTTGCCAAAGGTTTAACTGTGTTTTCGAAACAAAGATCGCAAGTGATGGAAGATGTTGAGAGACTCTTATTGGTGTGGATAAATGAAAAACAGCTAGCAGGAGATAGCGTCTCTCAAGCGATCATATGTGAAAAGGCTAGGAAGTTGCATGAGGATTTAATTAAAAAAATGCCTGCAACTAGTGATGATGTGAGTGAATTTAAGGCCAGCAAAGGTTGGTTTGAGAGATTTAAGAAGCGTAGTGGCATCCATAGTGTGATAAGGCATGGTGAGGCTGCCAGTTCGGACCACAAAGCGGCTGAAAAATATGTGCAGGAATTCAAGGAGTACATAGAAACTGAAGGACTGAAACCTGAACAAGTGTTTAATTGTGATGAAACAGGCCTGTTCTGGAAGAAAATGCAAGCAGGACCTACATTACTCAGGAGGAAAAGGCACTCCCAGGACATAAGCCTATGAAAGACAGGCTTACTCTTCTATGTGTGCCAATGCTACTGGTGATTGCAAAGTGAAGCCTTTATTAGTGTATCACTCTGAAACTCCCAGAGCGTTCAGGCAAAAGAATGTCCTCAAGGATAATTTTGTGTTTGCTGTGGAGGGCAAACAGTAAGGCATGGGTCACTAGGGAATTTTTCTATAACTGGTTACACCATGCATTTGCCCCCAATGTGAAAGATTACCTAACTGAAAGAAATTAGAACTTAAGTGCTCCTGGTGTTAGACAATGCCCCTGGTCATCCTACAGACGTGGCAGAGCGACTTTATGGGGACATGAGCTTCATAAGGTGAAGTTTTTGCCTCCTAATACCACTCCTCTCCTGCAGCCCATGGACCAGCAGGTTATTTCCAACTTCAAGAAACTGTACACAAAAGCTCTGTTTGAAAGGTGCTTGTAATGACCTCAGAAACTCAACTGACTCTAAGAGAGTTTTGGAGAGATCACTTTAATATCCTCAGTTGTGTAAACCTTATAGGTAAGGCTTGGGAGGAAGTGACTAAGAGGACCTTGAACTCTGCTTGGGAAGAAACTGTGGCCAGAATGTGTAGACAAAAGGGATTTTGAAGGGTTTGAGGCTAACCCTGAGAGGATTATGCCAGTTGAGGAATCCATTGTGGCATTGGGAAAGTCCTTGGGGTTGGAGGTTAGTGGGGAGGATGTGGAAGAGTTGGTGGAGGAGGACAATGAAGAACTAACCACTGATGAGCTGATTAGATCAACTTCAAGAGCAAGAGGCCAGACCTGGGGAAACTGGTTCAGAGGAGGGAGAGAGAGAATTGAAGAAGTTGCCTACTACAAAGATAAAGGAAATCTGTGCAAAGTGGCTTGAAGTGCAAACCTTCATGGATGAAAATCACCCTCACACAGCTATTGCAAGCCGTGTTGGCAACCTGTACACTGACAATGTTGTGAAACACTTTAGGGAAGGTGATAAAGGAACGAGAGGTACAGGCCACTATGGACAGATTATCTTGTGCGAAAGAAGTCCAGTGACTCTGAAGCTGGCCCTAGTGGCATTAAAAGAAGAAGGGAAGTAACCCCAGAAAAGGACTTGCTACCTCAAGTCCTAATGGAAGGGGATTCCCCTTCTAAACAGTAAGAAGATAATGCTCTCCCCTCCTCCCATCCCATCAATCATCACCAGATCTTCAATAAAAGTAAGTGTCATGTAAGTGTGCATGCCTTTTTCAGTTTGTGTGTATTAAAATTAACATTTCATGTGGTAAAAAAATTTTTTTTTCATACTTTTGGGTGTCTTGCACGGATTAATTTTATTTCCATTATTTCTTATGGGGAAAATTCATTCACATAACGATTATTTCGCATAACAATTACCCCTCTTGCACGGATTAAAATCATTAACCGGGGGTGCACTGTATTCATGTTTTTTGTCGACTAGTGCAGTGGAATTGGCCAAAAATGGGCCTCAAATTGGGCAAAATCACCGATGCGTAAACATCGCCGAGACCGCTAACTTTGCGAGAGCATAATTCCGTAAGTTTTCCATCAAATTTCATAATTTTGGTGTCATTATGATCGGGAAAAGAGTCTCTATCTTTTCATAAGAAAATTTTTTTTTTTTTTTTTTAAATTTGGCCGACCCTGAGAACGAGTCTCGGAGAGGGCCTGTCGACCCTCAAAGGGTTAATAAATGTATGAAAGAGGGGAAGGTACCTAGAGATTGGTGGAGAGCATGTATAGTCCCTTTATATAAAGGGAAGGGGGACAAAAGAGATTGTAAAAATTATAGAGGAATAAGTTTACTGAGTATACCAGGAAAAGTGTACGGTAGGGTTATAATTGAAAGAATTAGAGGTAAGACAGAATGTAGGATTGCGGATGAGCAAGGAGGTTTTAGAGTAGGTAGGGGATGTGTTTACATTGAAGCATATATGTGAAAAGTAGGGAAGTTTTTATTGCATTTATGGATTTAGAAAAAGGCATATGATAGAGTGGATAGGGGAGCAATGTGGCAGATGTTGCAAGTATGTGGAATAGGTGGTAAGTTACTAAATGCTGTAAAGAATTTTTATGAGGATAGTGAGGCTCAGGTTAGGGTGTGTAGAAGAGAGGGAGACTACTTTCCTGTAAAAGTAGGTCTTAGACAGGGATGTGTAATGTCACCATGGTTGTTTAATATATTTATAGATGGG